CTGTGACTTTCAGCAAACTCAAGAATGCGGTTGCCACCTTCATTCCGTTTTCCATAGCCAAAACCGCCATGTACGTTGTCAAAACTATCTGTTTTCTCTCCAACGTGGCCATTGAGATCGCCTCCAATCAGGATTGTTTCAGATTTTGGTATTGTTGAGATGGTGTCAGAGAACGCAGTCCAGAAGTCATTTTTCATCTCTTCTGATTCGCCTGTCTGTGGTGCGTATGCAGAAAAAATAATCAATGTTTGCTTTTCTATGCGAAGCTTGATCCACATGAGACGTGAACTAATCCTTTTAATATCCAGTACTTCTTGGGCTAGCGGTTCTCTGACAAATATTCCAACACCATTTTTGGCAGTCTTTTGACCATTCCAGAATAGTTTATATTTTTTTTTTGTCTGAGTTGACATGACAGACACCATTCGATTTCCATCGGGTTCCCTGAAGGCAGCAGATGTCAATCCTTCTACGCTCGAGCATTTCTGCGATTTCCATGATGCGGCCAGTCAGTGATCCAACATTGAGCGTTCCAAGTCTAAGTACCATAGAGGGGCCATTCTGAATTTTTCTGCAACATCCCTCCGCTATTGCATACTTCCCAGGGATTCTTGGCACCCCTTGACCACTTAAGGCCTGCTGGGGACTAGGGGCCGTTGTTTTTTTTTGTGATGGCATAAGAATAATTTGGGGAAAAGTTTTTACATCCGGACACCCATCCTGACGACAGCCTCCAGTTATAAGCGGTGGGCCTAGCCTTTTGCTCAAAAGCACGCAAGGCAGCGTGGATGCAGTTTTATGTCATACCCAGGACCAAAATGTAAAAATGTAATGAGGTAATTCAATAATATTTTGAGCAAATAAAAACAGCATTGAATTGACTAATAAAATTGAATGAAAAATTTAATCGCAAAAAATATGCAAAAAATGAAATGAAATAATATTTTTAACTAAAATTTCTGACCATTGAATAAAAAATCGTGAAATGTATAATTACATTCTATTTGAACTCAGTAACATTTTAGGTTCTCTTGAAGTTTTCTGCCTAGTGAACAAATGAAATTAGAAGTTCTTCACAACAGACTTGTCTTTAGACATCAGACGTACTGATTAATTTTTCTAACATGACTGACTATTTACTATTTGTGGAATTTTTGGTTGAATAATTTTTAAGTAAAGGCTGAAACCATTTTAAATCTAAATTTATTTAAAGATTTGGTTAAATTAAGCCTAACCCCAACTAAATTATCTATTGTGAAGGCTTAAGACCCACGGTAGCTCCTATGGTCACATAGTAACGGAACAAGAAGAAAGTTTCAAATTTTTTTAATAAGATTATTTGCCTGATTGAATACTAAAAGAAGCGTACTTTAAACAGGAATCAACAAATTTTTAAAGTTCGACTGAATTAATTTATAATTAGTTATTGAAATTTTAAAAATTTACACAGTTTTTTTAATTTTTAAATATCTTTACAAAATTTTTCAGTTTTTAAAATAAAAATATGCCGTCCGTAGTAACTTACAACTAGTTTCGTATATCTTCAAAATTCATTAGCGCGAATTTTTAAAAGAAAGTTTACCGTTCAGGTGTGTTACCTTGCCTCGGGTGACATTTTACAATTTCATCAGCCACCAGCGTCATGTTAAATAATTATTTATTTTTATTCAAAATTTTATTTAAAATGTTTGGGTTTTGTTCGTAACATTCTTGTAACGTGTCAAAATTGTGTTTGTTTATTTAGATAGAGAGTTAAATTCAGTTAATTCTCTTAAAATAACTAGCCAGTGCAAATAAAGACCTATTATCCAAATTATTATATTATAGAGATAATATGGTGTTTTTGTAACTGGATTTTGTTAGGAGCTTACAAATATTTCAGATTTTTATGGGAATAAAAGTTTATGAATCTTTGTTCATTATCGACAAGACGCACAGACACACTTTAGTTAGAGTCTTTACATGATGACTGGCCGCGGTGCATAATTTTCAAAACACCTTCACTCATTGATTATTATTAATTGTTGTTTTAGTTTGTTATAAAATAAATGTTGTGGAGATTTTTTATTAAAACAGGATATGAGTTGGTGGTTGTAGGAAGATGTTGGGAGTGAATCTTTTTTGACTTATGTGAGGTTTCAGTTTACTGCACAATCTGTAACATGTGAGGCTTCAGTTTACTACGCAGCTGAAAGTGGCAGCTGATTGAACTTATCATTTCAATGCATGGTTTTATAGAGTTTACGGTGCACTCATCCATCTATTTATTTACTTTGATTCATATAATTTTCTAACATCTTTTAACAACTCTTTAAAATATTATTCTTATTATGATTAATGTAATTTGTAAATCCTTTAATGTGAAATTGTTATCCAAACGTGTGACGTTGTGTTATATTATTTTATGTCACGTTATGTTATTTAATGTTATGTTATGTTATAAGCACTTTAAAATGTTGTTATGCTATGGTAACTGTTGAGGCATTTTAGAATGTAATACTTTGGAGCAAACTATGCAAAACGTGATCAAGCAGTTCATTGAATTAAAAAAAATGATTAATAAATTCAAGTAGGCATGAAAAACAACTTGAAAAGTTGATCAATTCAAAGTATTTCGATTTCTCGAGAGTGTTATGGTTTAAAAGCAGCAAGCACAATAATAATAATAAATTGTTTTGTTTTCATTCTTCATTTGAGAACCAATTGAAATAAAAATTATTTTGACTTTTTCATAAAAATAAGGTCACTTTTATGCGTGCTTGCGAGATCATTCTTTGGTATAATATATGCAGATCGCATTAAGTGCTGAATTCTCAACCAGGCCCTTCAAAACATGCTGGCATCCATTCGTGCGCTATAAAACGAGTAACTTCGCATCGGCATTCAGTTGTCTGCTGCAGTCAACTTTGTGGTCTGTCGTTTTAGGAGACTCTCCCTGCGGTGAGTTCCAACTCTACGTTTTTCAACTATATTTTTCTTTTCATTAGTGTTGACCGTTTAAAAGCTATTTGTTATAAACATGATTTAGTAATAATGAAGCTTGATGATGCGTTTTAAAACAAAAAAGCTATTTTTATTAACTTTGAAATTTCAAAGGTCTGAAAACATGGCTCTAAAGTATCAGTTCTGCGTGCTGTTGATGATCTTCCTCGGCATATCGTCGGCAGCATCTGTCATACCGTTAGTTTGCTACTTCGAGAAATTTTGATTTTTCAATTTAATTAAATTTAACTGGTTCACTAGAAATTGATAACTTTTGTTTATTCTCTTTTAATCCGTTTGAGTTTTATATGTTTAATATTAAAAC